AGGCTGAAGGGAGTTATCCAGGCAGGCAGCTTTACCTCTCCACTCCTGTGCCCTTGACCCATGTCAGAAGTGCATCCCTCACTTTGCCCCTAAAAGGACCCTCCTGAGTGAATTCTTTGCTCTATGAAAAGGGAGTGGAGAAGGGTGGAGATTACAGTGTTCCCTCTAAGCTGAGCTAGTGTGAGCTAGCTCACAGTTTTTAAGCCCCCGGCCCACTCATTTTTTGTCTTAGCTCAGGAAAGATGGCTCCAGAGCAGACTAATTGATGCAGCAGCCAAATCGCTCGCTCACAATTTTAATGCCAGGAGCTCACAAAGTAGAATTTTTGCTCACAAGACTCCACAGCTTAGAGGGAGCCTTGGTGGAGAAGGGGCACTTTGGTGAGGGCTTAGTAGGGCAGTGGGCCCAGATACCTGCACTATTCCTGGGAGTGAGCTGCTCTCTCACTAAATCAACACAGCTTCTAAACGTTTGGGGAAACTGGTACTTCCTCTACTGCCAGGCTTGCTTTTTTTTTTCGGCGTTTGGCAGCTGATGACAACATAGCTTCAAATCTTTCTGTGTGCTGGAAAAGAGTAGAATCTTGCTCTTGTATATGTGTTTTCCATGTTCAGTTTTCTAGTGTGGTTTGAGTTTTATTCATTATTCATTCGTTCGTGCACTGACTTTCTCCCCGGTGGGGACCAAAGCAGCTTACACCATTCTTCTCTCCCTCATGTTATCCTCACAGCAACTCTGTGAGGGAGGTGAGGCCAAGAGAAGCGTGACCGCCCAAGGTCAGCCAAGTAAGTTTCCGTGGCACAAGTGGGGATTCAAACCCGGATCCCCCAGATACTAATCGACACTCTTAACCCCTACATCACACGTGCCAGCCACCTCTGTCCCTCTCCGTAGTCTTTTTGATCAAATATAGGGGCCATCTCCTTTGCATCCGTGTCCTCATCATCTCCTTTAAAAGGATTGGGTACTAGGTGCTGTCAAAGGCATGGGACCCTGGAGAACCGCCACAGGACAGGGGACGCAGTGCTGATCTTGACAGATCGATGGCCTGAATCCGTACAACTCTGCTTTCATGTGGTCTGTAATGGGAAGGATGTGACAGGATTACGCTCCGTGCCTCGTGAAGATCCCCCGTGGCCTCTACAGTTGCTGTAAAGCGCCAGTGGCAACCAATGTTCCCTCTAAGCTGTGGAGTCTTGTGAGCAAAAATTCTACTTTGTGAGCTACTGGCATTAAAGCTGTGAGCGAGCGATTTGGCAGCTGCATGACTTAGTTTGCTCTGGAGCCCCGTCTTTCCTGAGCTAAGACAAAAATGTGTGAGCTAGAGTCTAAAAAGCTATGAGCTAGCTCACACCAACTCAGCTTAGAGGGAACACTGGTGGCAACCCCTCGGCCCGGACGGCAGTGCTTCTGACTGCATGTGGCCCCTCACGTGATTGAATGCTCCTCTGTGTGAAGAAGGAAGGAGTAGTGGCCCAGTGGTAGAGCACCTGTTTGGCACACAGAAGGTCCCAGGTTCAATCCCCGGCATCTCCAGTTAAAAGACCTGGCAGTAGGTGATGTGAAAGACCTCTGCCTGAGACCCTGGAGAGCCCCCTGCCAGTCTGAGTAGACAATACTGACTTTGCTGGACCAAGGGTCTGATTCAGTGTAAGGAAGTTTCACATGCTCACATTCCCTGCGCATAGAAAATTGGCATGTGAGGGGAGAGTCCTACCCTTGTCTTTCCCCTGACATCATCCTTTTCTGTGGGCAAGGAACAGCCTTCGACTCCTACAGTCTGAAGTGGCACAGCCCGCTGACCAGTTTGCTCCATCCATAAGATAATGAGGTCTAAGGCAGATCTAACCAATTGGCTTAAATTTCATCTAATCGCCTGGCAGCTTCTCTGGGACGTTGCCCTGTGTCAGTTGATCCGAGGGGCTCTGCTTACCCACAGAAGCGCGCGATCTTGCCATTAGCAGCTGGGTAGCCTGTGGGCTTCATCTGCCACAAAAGCCTCGTCTCTGTGTGTGTGTGTGTAAAAAGAGATCTGGTAACAGCAGGTGGGCCACGAGGTGGTGCAGAACTCTCTTAGGCATTCCTCCTAATTACAGGCCTGTGGCTTTGTTGACACAATTGGAAGCAGCCTTTCTCAATAGAATGGTGGGGTGTGGACGCTGCTGCCCAGGCCTGCATGCGGCCTGCTGCTCCACCTGCCTTGCCAATCCAGCCTGCCCTCCCAACGAGAACGAGAACTCCTAAAGGGGGAGTCGTTCGAGAGAGCTTGACTTCTCCCCTTCCCCCCCCCCAACGCTCTTGGTGTCCAGAAGTACCTGCCAGGGGTTGTTGCCATGTCCCAGACAGGCTCACATTACACCATGTCTCCTTTTGCATCGTGGATTGGCACCATCCGTGGTTTTAAACGCATGTTGCACACGGCCGGCATGTGGAGTGTCTCACTTTCCAGCACCTCCCAAATCCTGTGATAATCCGGTGCCCTGTTTTCCTCCTGTGGGGATGGGAGCATTTGCATGCTGTGTTACCCAGTGAGCTGCAGAGTTTGGAAAGGGAAGACTTCCCTGTGCCTCCCTCCCACTGCAGGACATTGTTCCTCTCCCTGATGAAATTTTGTTCTCATGAGTTGGTGGGCCCTCAGGAACAGCATGGGGGACAAAATGGGGGTCTTCAGGGGGAAAAGGAGAAGTGGTGGAAGTTGCAGGCCCCTCTTTTGTGGTTGGAAGTGCCATTCTGTCCGAGGAACTTCATGGCACTGTGGTAGCAAACCCGTGGCATGTTCCCTATCGTAGTGTTCAACTAAAATTCCACTGAAGCTCCAGAGATAAAACAAATTTTGGAACATTATAATTTCTCCTCATAAGGGAACCCGCCAGTCTTCCAAGGTCTGTCTCTTGCTTCCCAGGGAGGAAAACGTATCACACAAATAGATTTAACACAAATTAAAACAATTAAAACCATGGATATGGTTTTAATTGTTTGGTGTAGTGGTTAAGTGCGCGGACTCTAATCTGGGAGAACCGGGTTTGATTCCCCACTCCTCCACTTGCACCTGGCTGGATGACCTTGGGCAAGCTGTAGTTCTGATAAGAGCTGTTCTTGAAAAAGAGCAGTTTCTGTCAAGAGCTCTCTCAGCCCCACCTACCTCACAGGGTGTCTGTTGTGGGGAGGGGAAGGGAAAGGAGTTTGTAAGCCGCTCTGAGACACCTTTGGGTAGTGAAGGGCGGGGTATAAATCCAATCTCTTCCTCTTCCTCTAGCGAAGCAGTTTTTGTGGGAGCCAGAGTGCCTGAACAAACAGGGCCTCTCTGGCCTTCTCTGAGTAGCAGTGCTTGAATGTATCGGTACAAAGATCTCTCTTTGCATTTTACAAAGCCCATGGACTTTATTTGCCAGGTTCTTTTTGTTAAATTAAATATGAAGGTTTTCAATTTTGGTCAGTGGCGAGGGGGAACAGTCGCCATGTTAGGTAAGGGCAAAAAGTGTTGGGAGTGAGTTTTCCCACTTCCGTGAACTTCTGGTTAGGACTGCTCGAAGTTGGCGAACAAGGAAAAACTCGACAGTACCCGCTACGTACCTGGCTGTTATACATGCCACTCACTTAAAGAAAAATCAAATAGTGTGGTCAATGTAATGTTTCGATTGGACCTATGCCTTGAGAGGGCAGGCTTGTAAATGGCTACTCACCTATGACGATAAGAACGCGTTCCAGACGAGCAGGGAAAACTGGTTCTTTTGTCACAGATGATTTCCATAGGTCGCAGGGTAAGCAAATGTTTGTGCACTCTTGCCAGAAGGCCTCATTGATCGATAGTGTTCTCATCCCACCCACCCTGCGAACATCCCTTCCATTTTTTGTTCTCACAACAACCCTGTGAGGTAGGTTGGGCGGGGAGATGGTGTCTGACTGGAAATCACCCAATGAGCTTCATGGCCGAGCGGGGTTTTGTGCTTGGGCCTCCCTGCACCCAGCCTGTCAGTTCTAACCATGGTACTGCTGAGGCTATAACGAAACCTTGCCAGGATGAAAGCTGTTTGGGCGGCCACCCCAGGCAGTGGCACTGAACTGCATAACAACTCCTATCCGCAAGAGCCAGACAAACATCCTTAGGGGATTGGCATCAGATTTAGATTGACCTCTTCTTCACTCACTACTATTAGCAGATTTTTGCTGTCCAAGCAAGGACACCCCAGAACTAAAGCAGGATGTGTATGATATTCAGATAGTCTTTGCTTCTGTTTGGTGGGAGGGCAGGAGGCTACAGGCCTCATAATTCTGGAAAACCTTGGAAAGGTAGTCTTCAGAAGGTTTCGGGTAGTCTTCAGAAGGTTTCGGGGAGGCCTTAGCGGCTGACCTGTAGGCCACACCAGATTCGGGGAGGCTTTGAGGCGATGCAAAGTTGCCTCTCTTCTCATCCGCTTGCTCTATGGTTACAATGTCCTAATATCCCTAACCCTGCTAGCCACCCGTCTCTCTGTCCAGTTCCTTAGCGGCTGACCTGTAGGCCACACCAGGACAGCCAAGCTTCTCCGCCCTTCCTTCCTAGCTTCCTTTTGTTCCAATACCTTGAATATCACACTTCACAGTTCCCTTACGGTATGTTTATGCACATGCGCATTACACAGAGGAAACTTGGCAGCAGGAAATTGGGGTGTTGGCAGAGGAGACCCCTGATTGGGGCCATGCTGCTACAGTAGCGCTAGCCAAGGCCATATACACCCTTTGCTCGTGCTTACATATTCAATATTGGTTGCACCTTAGCAACAGGAGGATATCAACTTTGTTTTAAAGTGCGAAGCAGGTTTCCGGTCCTTGTAACTGTGAAGGTGGGCTGAAAGGTGTGCGGGCAGCCTATGAAAATCCTAAAATCCAAAGACTTGCATGATTTTTAAAAAAGAAAATCAGGTTTCTCTAGCAGTTTGGGTGCATTTTTAGTGCAGGGTAGATCTGGCCCCAATCCTTTTGGGGATCAAATGTAAAGCGTTTATTTTTCCTCCCTCCAGTTTTGGGACCAGCTAGATCACTCGATGATCTTCCCAGACTTCCGGCCGCTCCTGAGCAGCTCGCCTGAGCAAGACAGCCGGGACAACGAAAGGGGCCACCAAGCTCACGCGGACCTTTGGGGACCAAGCAGACCTCCGCGGCTGCCCATGACACGGCGGTACAGATCCCGTGGCAGCACGCGGCCCGACAGGTCGCCGGCTATCGAAGGGTAAGCACCTACTCGGGTGAAGGAGGGCAGCTGGGTGTGTGTGTGTGGGGGGGGGATCCAAAGTTTGCTCAGGTGTGTGATTGGAAGGGCAGGGATGGTAGAGTGGGGAGGATTACAGCAGAACATAGTTGTTCAATATATTTTTATCCTGTTACTTCGAAAAAGCCCAGGTGGTTTTGAAGAATACAATAAATCCTTAAAAGAGCCAGTATGAAGCTAGCATTCAAGCCAAAAGCTCTTCTCAAAAGCTTTACATGGCCCCAAAACTGCGGATGGGAAAGAGCAGCCCCTCAAGTAGCTCAGGTTTCAAACTTTGGAGGCAGTGAATTGGGAGAGCTGTGGCCACTTGCAGGGCAAGGCCGAAACGAGGGGGCATACGTCCCAACATTCCACACCCTTGCCCCCACAGAAAGTGTTGTTTCCGCCCCCCGGAGGCAGTCCCCCCCCCTCCCCAGTGGTTTTCACAAGGCAGTTGGGAATCTGAGGCAACTCCTCAGTTTCAGGCAGCCTGTCGGCCCTCTCCACACACAGACTCAGTGGCTTTCAGATGGAGGCTCTTCACCGTCTTAATCCGTGAACAGTTTTAATTCGCTTTCCCCCCCATTCCAGTTACCTCCCTCCTTCCTACTAGCAGCAGCATCGGCACGCAGCCAATCGGGTTTGGCTACATGGCTGTCGGCGAGGGCAGACGAAGCTAATTCAGAGTGGGGGCAGCGCTTTCCAGAAAGACGTTCACTTCACTGTGCGTGAGGGGCTCTTGCCCTCAGGGATGTCATGAGCAATGTTCCCTCTAAGCTATGGAGGCTTGTGAGCAAAAATCCTACTTTGTGAGCTACTGGCATTAAAGTTGTGAGCGAGTGATTTGGCTGCTGCATAGATTAGCTTGCTCTGGAGCCATCCCTTCCTGAGCGAAGACAAAAATATGTGAGCCAGAGGCTAAAAAACTGTGAGTTAGCTCACACTAACTCAGCTTAGAGGGAACAGTGGTCATGAGGCAAAAGAGATCCGATTGGCCACACGCTAGTAGGACGAAGGGCAATAGAAAAAGTGCTGACGCATCATGTAGTCAAGCCCGTGAACAGGCATCAGAAATGTAACTGGCAGGGAAGGTCTTTAGGAACATTTGGTTCCCCGAAAGCCTTTAAAAAAAAATGTTCACTGGAGAACATAAAACAGGAGCCTGTGTCCTGCAGTCTGCCCCGCTGTACAGCACGGAAGCATCCTTTGCCAGCGGCACAGCCACCTTTGAATCGGATCCGAGCAAGCAGCAAAGTGGTGGGAGCTTCGAGTGGGTGAAGTGAAAGGCCCCGTTCCCACAGAGGCTGTGGTGTGGATCCCACCTAAGTGGGGAGTCAGTTTCCACCCATCCCACCCTCCTCTTCCAGCCTGCCAAACATTCTGAACTCCTGCCCTCCAGGGGTCAGTGGGCTTCCAGGAATAGGGGGAGGTCTGCAGTGTGTGTGTGTGGGGGGGTAGAATTGCCCCACCCTTCTATGGGGGGGGGGACCTAGGAAGGATCCCACTCCATTTTATCTTTCTGCTGCCCGCGCACATGATTAAATGCATCCAGTTCTGACACCCTGAATGGCAGTATTCAGATACCAGCGGGGGAGAGCAGCTCTGCCTCTTTGTGGTGCTCTGCTGCTGGCCTGAAAGGTCATCGATACCCAGGAACAGCAGGCATCTTCAAAGTGAGGCTGCCGAGCAAAACCGACGGACTTTGCAGTAACTCCAGTTTGGGCTTCACCAGGATGGTGGAGTTCTCTCTCACTGTGGATGCTAAATTTAGCATAGCACAGCGAGAAAGGTAGCACCATCACCGGTGACTGGGGGGGTAGCCAGTGGGTGTCTGGTCCTGTTTTGATTTCGTCTGGTCTCTGCAGACTTCCGGCCACCTCTTAGATTTCATGACCTTTCTGATCCCACTTTTGAAGAATTTCCCTACTGCTTTGCCTGCCCCCTGAAGGCACCCTCGGTTGCATCCGACAGAGGGGGGGGGCCTAGGATGGCAGAAGGGTTTCCGGATGGCAGATGCTGACTTCTGCCGTGATAAATCTGTTAGCCTTTTAGGAGTCACAAGGCTCTTTGGTGTTTCTCTCGTGATAAACTAATTCCGGCTCTGGCCACCCCTTTCAGTGCTGGTCCGCAGTCTTTGGCCTCTTCCTCACGAGTTTCTGTGTTTCTTTCTCTCACTCTCCCCCACTCCCCGATTTCAATCCTGTACAGAATAATACAGCAGATCTTTGCGGGCTTCTTTGCGAATTCAGCCATTCCTGGCTCCCCTCACCCTTTTTCCTGGTGAGTAATGCACACTCCATGTATAGCCCCCTTTCCCCCTTACCGGGTGTTGCCTTAACGTGCACTAAAGATGTGCACTAAAACGGCTGTGGGGGATGTCTGTGTCTGCTGCCGATTTCCAGACAGTTTATGGGAGCCAGCAGTCTCGTGGTGAGGCTTGCCAGCAAAGGGTCTTCTTGCCGGCACCCTGTTACTCTGGTTCCTGACTTGGGCTCAGGGAGATGCTATAGATTTCCGTCCTCTGCTCCAGTCCCGAACCCGGCTGTCTGAGCTCCCTGCCTGTGCCGCTTCCTTTGCCCGGCGCTTGGTTCCCCTCCTTCCCAGCACAAGAGCTCCACCCTCTGCAGCTGAGGAGCTGGGCAAGCGCTGCCGGAGTCCTCCATTATTGCGGTGTCCCATGAGACCTCTGCCCTGTGCCGGGGACCTGCCAGACACCCCAAGCTCCCCCCCCAAAAAAAATGCTGTCTGGTGCGCTATAGCCCCCCCTCCCCAATTGTGTGTCTCTGTCTTTTGATTTCCCTGTCTCCAGGGGTGGCATGTTGCACTCGAATCCCGGGGACTATGCTTGGGGTCAGAGCGGCCTTGACGCGATCGTAACGCAGGTAAAGATGCCGGCGGATGGAACTGGCCTGAGCTCTCCTCCTTTTCCTCCTCCTCCTCCTCTTGAAGGCCCACTTTAGCATTTTGATCTTCCTTCCTGAGTCATACTGGCTTCTCTTTTCCTGCCCAGCCGGTAGCTGTCTTTGGTCACTGTTGGGGACCAGAGAGTGAAGACTGACCCAGACATGTAGGGGAAGGGAAAGACAGGTTGTGCTTAATTAGACTCGGCGTTTGTGCCATGCTTTTGAACGTTCTTTGCATTATCTCACAGCCCTCACGACAACCCTGCAAGGTAGGTCACTTAATATCCTCCCAGTGGGAGATAGGAGGGCTTGCCGAAGGCCACCAAACAGGTTCATGGGAGATGTAAAATTCAAATGGGGGGGGGGGGCTTCCACATTTGTGGCTCTCACCTGTTCAGCACTAATTTATGCTGGGCAGGGACAGAGTTCCTAGGCCACTGGCAGAATTCAGGATAGCCAACATGAAATATTTTGCCACTCAGTATACAATTAGCTTGGTAGAATTCACTGCCAGAGGATGCAGTGATGGCTTTAAAAGGGGATCAGATAAAAGCATGGAGGAGAGGTCCTTCAGGGGCTACTAGCCAGGGTGACTAAAGGGGACCCTCCATATATAGAGGAAGCAAACCTCCGGATATCAGTGCTGGGAGGCAGCATCAGGGGAAGGCCTTGGCCTCTCTGGTTTATTTGTTGGTATGTTTCTGCAGCCATTCGGTCTATAAACTTGGGTCTGTTTAAGAGAGGTCAGATGCCCAGAGAGCGAAATCCTGCATACGTACTCTTTTTCCTTGCTCTTTTGTGGAATCGCAGCATCACACACAGCTCTTTGTATAGGATCAAAGATTCAGCCTTGGTGGACTGGGCCAGAAAGTGGTTCCAGGAAGCCCAGAAACATCTGAAATCTCTAATGTGTCCATTTTCAGCTGGGCTTTGTGAATTGTGTGGGTGTCCTACAGCATGGGGGCCACGGTGGCTCAGAGGTTAAGACGCTGAGTTGCAGACCGGAAGATCAGTAGCGCGGCAGTTCGAGCCCCGAGTGCCACGTGACGGAGTGAGCTCCCGTCTCTGGCCCCAGCTCCTGCCAACCTAGCAGTTCAAAAGCAAGAAATTGCAAGTAGAGAAATAGGTACCGCTTCAGTGGGAAGGTAACAGTGTTCCGTGCGCCTCGGTGTTTAGTCATGCCGGCCACAGGACCACGGAAAAAAGTCTTCAGACAGTGCTGGCTCTTCAGCTTGGAAACAGAGATGAGCACTGCCCCCTAGAGTAGGATTCGACTAGCTTTCCTTTACCTCTACCTACGGCATGTCCCAAAATTCTTTGCAAAGGGCAGAGGTTCAGGACGGGACCTGCTGGTTTCCCTGAAGGTGTAGAGTGCTTGGGGGCCTTGCCTTATCTGACTTTGACACTGAATGAATGCGGACATTAGAACCCGCTCTGCTGCTCCCTGGCTTCCATTGTAGTTCTGTGGCGAAGCACTTTAAAGTCGCTCCCTCCTTGCCTTTATTTCTCCCTTTCTCCTGTTTCCCCTTAATAGCTTCTACCTTTGCAGCAAAATCACAGTCGCCTTTCCGTTTCTCCCCTCCTCCCAGCTCCTGGGGCAGCTGGAAAACACGGGACCTCCCCCAGCAGACAAGGAGAAGATTTCTTCTCTCCCGACAGTGACCGTCACTCAGGAACAAGTCGGTAAGTTCCCACCACCTTGCCCGTTCACACCGGCAGGGCACATGGGTGTTATTTGGCAGAGAGTTCCACCAGGTTGGTTTGAGGGCAGCCGGACATCCCTTGGGCTGGGGACCACCCGTAAGTTCTGATCTACTGAGCGCAGTGGTCTTCTGGGAGTATACCGGGAGAGAGGGTCCCGAAGACATGTGGGTCCCTTACTGTCAAGGGCCTTGAAGGTCAGCACCAGAACCCTGGAGATCTGGTACTCCCACCGGAAGCTGGTGCAGATCTTGCAGCACAGGATGGATGTGTGCTGTACGTGGGAGCCCCGTAAGGACCCGCTCCGCTGCATTCTCTGCTGCTGAGCCAAGTGGACCTGACTGGAGTGGAAGGCGGTTCTCCCCCTCCCCCCCCCGCATTCTGGGATTCTGGGAGGAGCTGCGGCTCAGCAGTGCAACACCTCCTCTGCATGCATGTTCCGCCCACAGCGTCTCCAGATGGAGGCTCTCAGGCAGCAGCCCTGTGAAAGACATCGCTTGGCCTGAGACCCGCTGCCAATCAGAGTAGACTGCACTGACCTGGGTGAACCAATGGCCTTGACTGGCTGTTAGGCAGGTCCCTGTATTATTGGCAAGGGCCCATAACTCCGAGATGGGGAGCATTGGCTTTTTGGGTTCCGTCCCTGGCATCCCACACTGAACAGCTGGGCAAGCATTCTCTGCCCACATCCTTGAAGAACCACTCTCCGTTAGGGTGGGCAGTACTGGGCCAGGTGTGCTCTCAGAGTTCAAGGCAGCTTCCTGTTACGTCGGGCAGAACACGAGCTCATTGCCTGCGGGAAGGCCGCATGTCTGATCCCCGGCAGCCTCCTCTGGGGCTTCACCTAGTTACTTAGTTCACTTTCACAGCCTACAGTTTAGGAATTTCTCAGTGAGAACAGCCCTCAATATCTCCACTAGCAAAACAATAAATCACCGTGTATACATATACAATATAAACAGATATTTATATATAATGCTTTTAGAAATCAGTTGTCAGCAAAGTTACAACCATAACATTATAGAATGCGATCTTAGGCTTGGCAGTACATATGAAACACTTCAGGTTTGTCGTCTGTATTCTTATCTTCAATGGAATAAAGTGCTGCAAGCATTACATCACAATGTAAATTCTTATACAGTTTTTTGTACGTTGTCGCGTTTAATCTGGTGACTGGGGAGCTCCTAATATGCTCTCATGTGACAGAGTCTACAGTATGTGATATTTGGCTCAGCTTCCCTCAGCACTTTATTCCATTGAAGATAAGAATACAGACGACAAACCTGAAGAAGGATTCGTAAACGGACTTATACTAGAAATCCGTCGTTTGTCTGAGAATATACTGTAGTGTTTCGTATGTACTGCCAAGCCTAAGATCGCATTCTATAATGTTATAGTTGTAACTTTGCTGACAACTGATATCTAAAAGCATTATATATAAATATCTGCTTATATTGTATATGTATACACGGTGATTTATTGTTTTGCTAGTTACTATACACCGTGGTCTTGTTTGTTGCTCAATATCTCCACGGCAGGGGAGGGTAGGATGCCCGGAGGGCTTAGCCCTGGGCTGGGTTCTGCAGATTCTGCCTTTGAGTGGAGGCAGTACTCTCCAGTGGGTGGAGACTTCCCTTGATGCCAGACGTCTCACGTCGGTGGGATAAGGCTTCTTCTAGACGGAGGAAAACTCCTCTGCCCGTGGAACCCATCTACGGGGCGCGGCCCCTGAATCCGCCTCAAGGTGATAAACCTTGGAAGAATCTTTTGAGACTTTGACCGGTGATTCACCAGGGCCTTGTTTATGCGAACTGGTTTTTCCTTCTCCCTTCCGAAATTAAAAAGAAAAAAGACAGTTCATATCCTAAAGCAGCGAACCCCCCAAATGTCTTGAGGAAATGCTCTGCCTTAGCTGAAGGTGCAACGTTCCTCCTGTGGGGTCAGACTGCAGTCCTGCCACTCCTCCCGCCCATGATCTCTGAGGAGTCGGCCAGAAACACCTAGGATCAGTGAGTGGCCCTACCTGGTTGTGCCAGCCCTCTGGGGTATCAAGGCAGTATATCCCTGGTGGTGGAGGTTCTGCTCCTGGATACCATCACTGTCACAGAATGGGGATCCTCCCACCATTGAACAGATCCCCTGAACCCTACTGGGCAGCGCCCCACCCGCACCGTAACTTGACCAGCCCCGCAACCAGGTGTCCTGCCAGCTTTGGAGGATGGGCTGGGACAGCCCGCGGCCAGGAGCGCCTCGGCTCCTCCTGTGTATCGTCCCCTCCTCTTCCTTCCTCCCTTCATGGGGTCGAGAGCCAAGATGGTCTGACCCGCTTTCCCCATTGGCTCTCAAGCATCTCTCTCACCTGTCTCTTCCTTCTCTCTTTCTGCCCCAGTCCCCTGTAAACTCCAAATCCCATCCTTCATTCCTCAAGGAAAACGCCCTTTTCTACCTTCTGCTCCTGGCAGCTTCGTGTCCCTCTGGCTTGTTTCCCTTGGGGGCGGGGGAGGGTTGCAAACTCTGCCCCCCCCCCCGGCTCTGGCTTTCTCACCCTGTCCCTTGGGTGTCCCGGCCTCTGAGACAGCAGAGCTGGAAGGGAAGGCGGCCCTCCTTGCTCTGTGTTCAGTGTCTTCTTGCGGCAGCCACTAACAGCGGGTTGGCCACGGCTGCCCTAACCGAGATCCTGTCCCCTGCCCTCGCCCTGCAGATACGGGCCTGGAGTGCCCCGTGTGTAAAGAAGACTACACCGTAGCGGAACAGGTCCGGCAACTCCCGTGCAATCACTACTTCCACAGCAGCTGCATCGTGCCCTGGTTAGAACTGGTAAGCCTGCGTTCTTGGGAGGAGGGGGGGGGAATGGAACGGGAGCGGCTTGCAGAGGTTGAGCAGAGCCACCACCCCCTCCATCTATAGGGGGTGGTGGCAGAGCTCTGCTATGAGACTGGGGGTGGTGGTGGTGGTGGCAGGCAATGGATTTAAGGGGCTGTCAGATATCTCAGAGAAATAATCCTATATTTACGCTGATGTATATGTACGTTGCGGTTTTAACTTATCTTTTAAACTGTGTTTACTTGTATCGGGTTTTTTTCCCTATGCCAATAAAGGCTACTTAACTTAACTTGGGGCTGTGACGTGTGGTCCGGTGGGGCCGCAAATCCAGCCGGTGGAGCACAGTCTGCTAGAGAGGTTGCGTGAGCCTCAGTGAGGAGCGCCTCTTCTTTCTGGTGAAGAGCTGTTGTGGTGCAGCGGTTAGTGTCAAGACTAAGGTCTGGGAGACCCGGGTTTGAGTCCTCACATTTCTGTGATGCTCACTGGGTGACTTTGAGCCCGTGACTTTCTCAGCCTGACCTACTTCAGCGGGTTAATGTGAGGATAAAATGTGGGGGAAAGAGAGCTATGCATGCCATCTTGAGCTCCTTTGAAGGAAGGGCAAGATACACACATAGTACTGTGTGATGTTCCATCCAGTCGCTTCTGACTTATGGCGGCCCTATGAATTAATGACCTCCAAAACATCCTATCAAGCCAGTTTGGTGTAGTGGTTAAGAGGGTGGACTCTAATCTGGAGGAACCGGGTTTGATTCCCCACTCCTCCACACGCAGCTGCTGGTGTGACCTTGGGTCAGTCACAGTTCTCTCAGAGCTGTTTTCTCAAGGGCCGTTTCTGTCAGAGCTCTTTCAGCCCCACCTACCTCAAAGGGTGTCTGTTGTGGGAGGGGAAGGAAAAGGAGATCGTAAGCCGCTCTGAGACTCTGAGTGAAGGGCGGAGTATAAATCCAATCTCTTCTTCTTCATCATTGTTACCAGTCTTGCTCAGGTCTTGCAAACTGAAGGCTTCCTTTGTTGAGGCCATCCGTCTTATGTTGGGCCGTCCTCTCTTCCTACCGCCTGATAGAAAGCAGTGGGCCTTGCACAGGAGAGCCTGCCTGTGGATTGTACCCCACCTGAGTTCTGTGGGAGAGGCTCCTCTTTGGGTTTTCTGACTAAGCTCCAGAACATCTTGGGCTGGATTTGTGAGCCGTCTTGAGATTCTGAGTTGGCCAATTCTGTCCAAGGCTGTTCACCCGGGGTCTGTGGCCCATTCTGCATCTAGCATTCACTCTGTTGTTTTGCCCACACCCACACCAGAACAAAAGAAGATGCGGTTCAGTTTCACATTCAAAAATACCCTGGGCCAACCCCGTACTGACTGCAGAGTCACCCCCTGTATGGTCATAAAACGGCCATAAATCTGTGCAGACAGTACCATAACACCGAGAGACCAAAGGAAGTGAAACCGGCATGCAGTGTGGAGGCTACCATCAGAAAGTGAAAGTGGCATGCAACGTAGAGGGGAATTTCTGTTCCAGCGTGGGTGTCAGGACCCACAGCCAAACAACGGAGCACACGCTTCCAAGAAAGGTTTTGTTTTATTGTCAGGACTAGGGTTGCAATAACAGGGTCGCTGTTAGGAATGGCAAGCAGGGAACATAGGGCTGCCAAGTCCCCCCGGGGGGCGGAAATCCCCCCACCCCAGAGGCCCGTTCCCCGACGCCGGGGAATCGGGCCCCGGGGGGAACCCCGCCCCAGCGTGCACGTCACAGGGAAGTGACGTCATGACGCCGGGC